TCCGTACCGCCACAGTGCTCACAACTAGCCGGGAGGCAAGACTGCCCAGCTGTCAGGTAAATTCAGACGTCCTTTCTCTTCTCACCCAGCTGCATGTCAGATCCATGGATCCCAAGCTCTCCTTTCCAACACCATGACTTCCTATCCATAATTATATTTGCTACATTTTATCTTAAATATGGGCTATGCTAACAGACACTGGATACCTGAAGTCTACACGTGCTCCGTGGAAATGCAAGAGAGCTAGAGTTTATTTTACTGGCCGCTAGTGGGTAGACTAGGGGCTGCCTTCATCTCCCTTGTGTGAATAAATGCTAGGATTAGTGCAGTGATTCATTACCTTCCAAAATATAAAACCTGGAATTGTTAGGATGTTTGCCCTACTTTTTCTTTTGCTTGTCTTTTGTCCTTAGAATATAGTTCTCAGACAAATAAGCAGTAAGAATAGAATGCATATCTCATGAATGTGTTTCTCTTTTGTCTCCACTCACTATCCTCATTAAAACTGAATTTGAAGGCTGGAGAAAAATTTATAATTGACATTTTAAAAGAATATTTGCAGTGATAGTGCCCTTTATGTGAGATTAAATGAAGAATCTTAAAGGCAGCTTTATGTACTCCCCATACACTAAACTGGAGACTTGTTGACAATTTTTATTCCAATGAAAGCTTTACAAACCCGTCATGAATTTACCTCCATGTGGGTGAACTCGCACTCAGCATCAGAGCACTGCCCACCCCCCCTCCCCCCCAAGGACTTTCCATCTTTGTGTAATACTTCATCTCCAGTTATTTGGCCTCTGATGGTATGAAGTTTTTATAGTCTGTAGCTTTTATAGTCTACTTATTGTTCTTTCTGTATTTTAATGAATGTGTTACTTTTCTACCAGGGCAAGGCTGTTTTTGAGTAGGGGCCGGCCTAGATATATTTCCACGTATGTCAGGAATTGATGTCAGGAGCAGGCTGCATGTGGTCATGGTTATAGCCAGGAGCCCCCATGTGACCTGGTCTCAGAGGGGATTATGCAGCCAGTTGCAGGAGGGAGACAAGGAGTTAGCAGGAGAAGGTACATGATTAAAGAAGTCCCAAACCAGCATCTCCCTACTGATGTCTAGTCTGCCAACAGGATTCCAGCCGCAGAGTTTTTACTTCCGGAACATTCTTTGCTAACATACGAATGCCATCTTATTACAGCCGCCAGCTGTAGAGTCGTTTTAATTATGTAAATAACTGAATATGATGATAAATGTTCAGACCCATCCTAGTGAGACCCAGTGTGTGCAGTGGTGAAGAACATGGGGGTCCTAACCCACAGTCTGTTCTCCATCAAGCACCCCACTCCCCCAGGGCCTGGGACAGTGCCAGGCACGCAACCAATGTTCACCTGCTGATTACAGGTATGAGTGAATGAGCTCTGGAGGCAGATGGCTTGGGTTGAAATCCCACCTCTACCCCCTGCTAGTTGTGTAATCGTGGAAAGTTGCTTTTGCTGGCAAAGATTCTCTCTGTGTGTGTGTGTGTGTGGTTTTTGTTTGTTTTTTGGGTTTTTTTGTTTTTACTTGTAAAGTAGGGAAGAGAATAGTTTTGAGGGATTCAGTGTGGCACAGGCCTGATGCATAGGGTGCTCTCGATGTGTTACTATTACTAACCATTCTCAGTACCTAACTGTTCCTCAAGGCAAAGGTCTGTGGCCTCTTTCATAACTTCTCTAATTTGCTTGGGGGAAGAGTGGAGAAGCCTACTTCTTTAAGTGTTTCAATTAGGTAAGGAGTGGAAAGGCTAGTGGGGAAATTTTTTAAGTTTAATTTTATTTCACCTTGTTTTTTTTTATTTTTAGGAACTGGTTTGACTAAACAGTTACCTGCCCCAGTTCTGTATCTTCTGAACTCACAGAATTTAGGTTGCTTGCTATACCTTCACAGGGATGATTTACTTTAAAGAAAAGCAATTTAATGAATTACAAATGTTTCTAGTTTCTACCCATGCGAATACAGCATAGGCCAGGTTCTGCGGTCCCCACAGAGAAATGATAAAATCCATATAGACCTAAAAAAACTCCTTTTCATAGTCACTGGGATTATGATTGGCTTCCTCCCCACCCATACCTCTGCCAAATGGATCGAATTTAATGCCCTCACAGTTCTTGTCACTTCTTGGTGGCAGAAAAGTTAATAGCCAACATTGGAGTTCTTACCGTGTACATGACATGTGTTCAGTTCTTTACACTTATTAATCATTACAACTCCCAGAAGGTAGGAACAGTTATCACACCCATTTTTAAACCAGGAAACTGAGGAGGAGTGGGAGGTAACGTAACTTCTCCAGGGTCACCCATCCCGAAAACAATTGAGCCCATCGAGTCTGGCACACATTGTCCTAACCACCACGATACACCACTGTACCAGCAGGAGACGCTCCCCGATTTTCATTATGCTGTGAGGAGCATAGGCAGAGAGAATTTAAATCACTTGTGTTGACCCTGTATCCCAGAATTGAAAAAGAAGGAATGTTTACTTAATGAGAAACACGAGAAATAAAACATGCTCACGATGTTGAGTAACTTTAGATCAGTGTTCTCTATCTTTGTTTCTCACATAAAAATTGTTTTATACTTCCTTCAGCTTACAAATGTTCAAATAACTTTTTAGGTGTAGGGTTTTGAATACATGAGCATTTTCCTCATATTTTCCATATATGCTTCTTACAGACCGATTTCGTTGTAAAACTAAATTATTAAAGTTGATCATAGATAATCATAATGTGAAGGGAATGCCCAACATGTGCAGCCTTGGGTGTAATATTTAAATATACGGAGACGTTTGGGATTTAGCACTTCAGTCCCCTTCTATCAGGGAGTTGCTTACTGGGACAACAAAAGAAACTTTCTGAAGAAATATCCATTTTTACATCTTAGTAACAGTTTCCTAAGCCTACTGTTTTCAACATGATCTACCTACAAAAAGCAGGTTCTTAAATGGTAAAGGCTGAGTAACAAGTAGGTTCCTGAAGGCGGTTAGCGATCAGAACTGAATACAGCCTGTACCTGAAATAATTAGAACTTATCAAATATTTACATCTAAGAAATAATTTCTTAACCGGTAAGCCAAGAACATGTTTCTGTCTTAATATATGTAGTGTATGGCATTTTATGCAAATGTAAAATAGAAGTAGTATCATATGAAGTATTTATGAAAATCTGAAATAATGTAAGAAATCTGAAATAATGAACACATTTTTAAATCATCATGAATATAATGTGATGGTGTTGGGCCAAGTGAGCTATAATTTGTGGCTCAGCTGGTCGAGCAGAAATGCTTGTCTTCTTCCAGAAACGAAAATCGTACTGTATGTTAACTAAGAAAGAAAAAAAGAAAATAAATGTCTTCCTTGATTGGGAAGAGTATTTGGACTACATGGGGTCTTCCAACACCCTTCTTGTATAATGTGACCACCCCATGCTACTTGCCCTAACTTATGTTGAATAATGTGTTTAGTTGCCTAAAAAAGAAACGTGTTCTAAACCATGCAGATCTAACAGAGACAGAAGCTCTGTGAGGTCTGTGGGAGGGTCTGTCTGCTGCTGTGTTTCCTGGGCCATCTGACTCCGTCTGCAGGGGGGAGAAAGAGCCTTGGCATGCAATGGTTTTTTTAGCCCTTGTGTTTAAGCTCCAGCTCTCCCAGGGTTACCCACCACGTTTTAAAAATAGGTAGGAAAAGTCATTTTTATCACTGGTTGCTCTAACTAGTACAGAAGAGCGCTCTCCTCTGAAACTAAATTCATAGCACTTCAAAGAGTTTGGGAACTGAGGATGACCTCAAGCAGATCAGCAGTTTACATAATTATAATTTTGTGTCAAAATTCAAGAGATACACTTGAAGGATAATTTCAGTACCAAAGATAAAAAGGATTTTGAATGCTAATTTTTAATGACTTCAATGATAATATTAGCTTTAAAAATAATAAATAGATAAGTAAAAATTATTTATTAAATATTTATGTATTTGAGCCATGGCTTAATTAAATGGGTATGATTTGAGCCATGAATAGTTTTCTCAAATATTATTCCTGGCAGAAATGAATTCTATGGTACTGAATTTCATAATATATGAGGGGGAAAAGCAGAGTTTTAGAAAAATGCAGTCTTTTTTGATTAAATAAAAAAAATCCCCATAGTGTGTGTTCCCCATTAGTCATCTTTGAAAAGGTCCGAAAGTGTTTTGTAGTTTTGTAGTTTTGTAGTTTTAACTTAGGAAGTTCAATGATTTTACTCCCTTGCCCTTCAAGATTATTCATCAAGACATTAATGAGCCTGGGCATTTATTTGTTCATTTAAACTGGAGGCTCTCAGAAGTGGTTATTTGGAAGTCTGCATGATATGCTCAACAAATAGGGAGTTTTAAAACTATCCTGTCTTATTTATACTGCCAAACTTAAGCAAATAGTGGGAACCCTTAGAGCAAATTAGGCTTCCATGGGCAAATTACTCATCCTATGGAATCTGAATCTACTAGAGAACTGTAGGGTCCTCTAAAGCTTTGATTCAGCATTGTCTACTCTCCGGGAGCTTGTTGGAAATGAAGATTCTCAGGTCCCACCCCAGACCTATCAAATCAGAAGCTGCATTTTACCAAGATCCCCCAGGTGATTGGTATGCATACTGGTTTTAAAAGAACCGATTTGAAGAAATCTTGCCACTAACCCAGAGACCTGTGTGCAGAAATTGAACAGAGCGACATTGGGGGAAGGGTTTACTTATCATTTCCCTAACGTCTTTCTTTCTTTCTTTCTTCTTTCTTTCTTACTTTCTTTCTTTTTGCATTGTTTTTGAAAAGCTGCAGTCGTCTTGGCATGCTTTAGATTTAAACTATTTTCTGTGCAAAAATTTGTGTTTATGTTTTTAAAATTTCTGTGAAAAGATTGTGTCTCTCTAACCCTTACGAGTGTGCCTGGCCCCCTGTAAATGCATTTCTTTCTGACACGCTTGTTTCTCATTTTCAGTCCTGACCTAGCTCTCCCTGATGAGCAGCCACATTCCAGCCCGCACTGCGCCCCTCTCCACTGTCTCTCCAAGCCTCCTTACCCCTAGTCTTCAACTCCCGTGGACGGATATCTAAGGTGAATGCTTTGTAGCCACATACAGAATACTGCCCAAGATCCAGCGGGTGTTTTCTTCTCGGTTGTGAGATGTAGGATTGGATTCATGTTCATCATTTTGGAAGATGAGAGAAAGTAAAGAAAAATAACACAAAGCACAGACTCCAGTGTGATGAAACATTTTATGGTTTCTCTAAGTCTCACAGATAAAATTCTGCAATCAAATGGCTATGGTTGAGTTCAATGAAAACAAAAAATAAAAGGAAACAGGAACTATGTATCTCAGATGGCTGGCTTTACCTCGATAGCATAAGGAAGACCTAAGACAATGTAAAATACATATATTGTAAAATCATCTTTCCTTGTACTTCAAATTCAGCTATAGAAGTTGATTCCGATATTTTTTGTCATTGATATTTATTTTGTATTTTATTTGCCACATGATTTATGTCTATAAAAATCATTTCTGTGAGAGGTGAACTTAATTCCTTTATTGTTAAATACGCATAATTTGCTCAATTAAGTATGAGTTTTAATTTAGTTCGAAATCTGGAATTGGCCAGACTGTGGTCATATTTCTTGCACAAAATAATAAATGAGGTGCATCAGAATGTTAACAATAACTATTTTGCTGCTACACTGATATTGTTTATGCACTTATTTTCTCATCAGTAGCTCATTAACTGCTGGTTGTTTTTTCTTTTTTTTTTTTAACTAGAATTCTTCACTTGACATCAGTAAGTAAATCTAAGAAAGACTATGTTATGATTCATTGACTTATTCAACTTTTGACAGCATCTTTAATTTTTTAAAAATTGCAGACAAGTAGATGCACTGGTGCTGCCCCTTTGTGTGTATGTATGTGTGTGTGATAATGTTAAGAAAGCTAAATAACATGAAGGGAAACAAAAAGCTGTGTTTATGTAACGATCAGAATTTTTTTTTTTTACTTTCCCAAATTCAGGGTCCTACTATGAGTCTTTCCTGCAAAAGGGTATCAAATGGGAAAATATATACATAGATAGATGTAAGTTAGCCTTTGGTTAATTAGTTTACCCAGAAAAGTGTTCAATGTTTGATTAAGATTGTATGTTTCGTTATTGTTAGGTTTTTTTTTTTTTCTTAATGAATCTTCCTTGCCAAAAAAACAATAATAAACCTTAGCTCATTGTCTACCTTTGACAAACACTCAGGTGCCTACAATCATTATATTATATTGAGATAGTACATGTTCTTAGTTCATTTACAGCTTCTGCTGGGTAACTTTTATGACTTGATTTAAGGCAGTGGATTTTCATAGCAAATTTCTTTTGCACATAATCTGACAAACAAGGAAAACAGCTAATTTAGCTGAAAGGTCTAACACTCCTGGGCTCCTTAACTATCAAGTGCTGCCCACACAATTGCTCCTAGCCCTGGTTCCTTGTCTAGTCAGGTAGCCTTAACTTATTTAAAACCATAACGGTTTGACCTTTTCATGTAACTATATCTGTAACTTCTCTTCAAAACAAAAACAATCCTCACTGTTAACACAAAAGATAGTTAACAATGCAGGGCCCTAACAGTGGAGATCTAGTTGTGGAGATCTCAGCTTACTGAGTGGGAGTGGGTGGTACATTAATGGATGGTCCATCAAAGATGGCAGCCAGTCGGTAAATCATAAAGCACAGTGCAGTTTTGTCAGTCGTACATCTATTAAGTAGTGGACACACTATTACCAAAGCAACCAAGAGGTTTTGAGTTCCTTATATGAGTGCTATTTTCAACAGTGTCATTTATTATGCAACTTGGAGTAACTGGAAATCTTCACCAAAATAGAGATTCAGGTTAAAATACAAAAACAAGAAATAAAACAAATCTTCACAAAGTCCAGATCATGGCAACCTAATGTTCTGCTCTTTCCTACCTGCATTGCCTTGCTGTTCCTAAACATTTGCTCCATTTTATCGGTGTTGTATCTGTCTGTAATCCAGTATTAGTGAGACAGTGTGGGTTTTGTTGGAGTTCAATTAAAAGAAACTACCCCACTCCCCATTCCTGCTTTTTTCTTTTCTTTTTATTTGGTTTTCAAGCATCATGTTTTTGGACCTGAGAAGTGGCATAGCTGCTAAGTTGACTTTTAATAAAAACTGTTTGTGCCTGAGGGAAAATATGCCTTTTTAAGAAGTACCTCAGAACATCTTCCTGTGTTGCCTCATCGATTTTGTTGGTGGTACAGGGAACTGAGCAGGAATTACTCACAGTACTGTCAAACAATACTGTCTGTGTGCTGACTGACAGTGTGGTATTGCTTTCATGCTCCCTGACTCTGTATTTATGAACTGGTGAAAAAAACCACGCTATAGATGAAACATTCATTTCTTCCCATGCAAAGTTTACCCTCGAGTCTATTATATGCTGGTTTTATCTCAGTTCTTTATCTTAATAGAGTGGGAAATGCTTGTTTTGAAATATGAATTCTATAAACATGTTAATTTTAGCAAAATGTTGCCAAGAAGATATAGAAACTTGGAAATAAATGTCTAATTTTCAGCACAAAATTAGATAATAGTCCCTAAGCAGTAGGAGAGAATTCCATGTATTTACACTGTGGCATCATTTAGTCTAGTTTAAACTGAGCCATATCTGTATTTATTTAGAGGCATTTAAAAGAATATGTGTGGCATTGGTTAAAATTAGTACCTGTAAAAAAAAAAATCAGGATTCAAAAGGAAATTGAAATTTATTGAAGAATCAGTGAAAACCAAAAAGAATGAATCCCAGTGAAACTAACTGAAGACAGACTTGGGGAATAAAAACCAACTACTGAAATACAATAAAATTTGGCTAATTACTGGGAACACAGTGGGCAAAGATTAAAGGTAACCAGTAAGAGTGGTTAGCAAAGTAATTCGGTAGTTTTTTAAAAGTAAGCACAATTACCATCCTAAAAAGAAGTCATTAGGCAGAAATGCTTTCCTAAGTGAGGATTCCTCTAAGCTAAAAAATTAAATTTAAGGGATCAATAAGTTGCCTTTGGCCTGAGTGCACAGGGGTATACAGGACCCTTGGATTATTCTTTCCAATCAACTTCTCATTCATCAGATCCCTTTCATACATCCAATTCTGCTTCAATAAGAGGAATTCAGAGAACTTTGAGAAAACATAAAGCTATTAAATAATTAAGAAAAGACCCATTTAGAAAGATGATACTTTTATTTAGCCTAAGGAAGAGGAGGTACAATAGTAATCTGCAAGGAAAGGAAATTTAACAAGAGGTACCAGCTCTAGATATCATTATTAAGACTGGAATAAGAAAAACTAAGTCTTTAATGTGAAGGATTTATATTACCTCCATGAAAGAGATTTTTAACAGTGGAAAATGAATCACTGAAATTGATAATCATAAGGAATATTGGTTTTTCAAAAATTAAATATTATTGGTTATCTAGTAAGGATTGAGTTAGGTGGCAAGGTATCTTATGATAATGTATTATAATTCTGGGATTCCATAATCTTATGCTTCTTTTGAACTTAAAAATACATTAAAGTTATGCTGATTAGTTGTAAAATATTTTATCCCTTGAAAATAGGATGGCAATCTTAATTTTTCCAAAATATCTGATAAAAAAAGAAAATCATTGGTATTATTTTTTCTTCCAGCTATATTTCATAATATCTTTAGTAATTTTACTATAAAAAGCCTCAATTATCAGAGTCTAAAAAAACAAATATCCTCAGGAATACTTTGGAAATAGAAGGTATGCAATCCCTTAGGGGGGCAAATGCCTCTCAAATTTTTATCTTTTCTTAAAAGGATCTTCAATCTCAATATTTCCTCTTTCTAATGCCTTGGAAAATATTCCTGTACAGATAGTCCTTCTGTTTCAATCAACCATGAAACGTTGGTCAAATAAACCAACTGTGAATGTGGACAGTATTAAATAAAATCCTCTACAATTCTCAAGTAGAAATTACAAAATATGAAAAAGAAGAAATGAAATATATTTTCTACTAGGATAAGGATGGCAAATTTAATGTGTAATTGTTATAATCAATCAGCCAAAAGACATAATCTGTCTTTCAGAAAGACACATCAAGGGACACTAATTGATTTCCAGTAAGGAACTGTGCTGATTCAGCCCAAGGAGGCCAAACACATTGATATTGTAGATAGAAAGTAGGACTAGATTCAAAAGGAACTCTTAGGATAAAGTTCACAATTAAAAAAAAAAAAATGTCCTCTGGGTTTTTTGTTTATAAACCAGGATGATTTAAAATAATCCTTGTATTTAAGATTGCAAAAAATTTAGAAGAATATGTTCAAAAAAGGAGAAATAATTCTTCAAAAAGTTGTTGAACTGGAGTTGTGATAGATGGCATGATCAGTGCTGATATCGACAAGTAATTTTTACCTTGAAATCCATTTCTCTGGACATATAAGACCAATCTAGCTCCCGAGTGACCTTTTCCACTGTCTGTAATTATGCCCCCAGATGAGTTGCCTCTGTAAGTAAGTTCATCTTTATTTAAATGCCAAGTTAACCGCTATAGTCCCTAATGTGTTGCATTTGTAGCCTGATCCAATTATGTTGACATCTGAAAGATTTTGTCGAGGCATCTCTTTCATCCTTCTTACTCAAAGTATAACTGAAAAAGATATTTAGTATTAAGATATGTTCCCCAATTGAGGATTTTCCAGAAATAATGTTCTACTTAAGAAGAGGAGTAATTAACTGCCTTTACTATAAGGGTGTGAGTACATAAAAGTATGTGTGTAAAATGCATGAGAAATTTCACATCATGTAAGCTTTCCCATATTCATAATATGAACACTATAGGAGTCTTATTTCTCTTGTGATCTTCTCTGCATTAGGAATGTAAGGAGATTATTACCTATATCTGGTCTCCTTTCCATATTGAAATGCATGGCTCTAATCCTCAATGTATTTTTATCCCTTTCCTCCAGAGTTATTTAAAATTTGTCCTATTTAAACTGATGCCTGGATAAACTACCAAGCCAGATTATTTCTGTGATGGAGTTTAAGTGCTGTAGAACATTGGCCGAGAACACATTTTTTTTTTAAACTTTTCTTTCTTTCAGAAATATTCTCTGATCGTTATGGTTCTCTAATAAAAACACTGAGAAGTAAATCGGATGCTTTTAGTGTGACTGTACGTTTTTCTTTCTAAAAAGTCATTTAAAAGCAAAGATCAGAGAACTATGTAAAGAGAAATGCCATCTTTTTGTTGACAAACCATTATTCAGTAATACTGAATATCCAGAATGAATCATTCTGTCGTTTAGGTTTATAGATATGATTATGCACCGAATCTTAGAGGAAAGAAATGATTTTACCATTATCGCCACAAAATTTTTAAGCTCCATGGTTTGACTGTTAGAGTCAATTAAACAATTCTTTGAAAATCTTTTATGATATTTTTGTAATCTACTCAGTGTTTTTATTTGCATGATTACACGTATATGATGAACCATACATGATTCTGAATTGTATTTCTTTCCAGTATTAACATTTGTGTAATGTGTGGCCAACCCTGATTTGTACACTATATAATTGTTGTTGTAATGATTCTGCTATTCCTACATTTAATTGCAATTTTGTTATTATGCCTTTTGGGATTAAATGATGTGAAGTGTTTCCACCTAATGATAATACCATATGAAAACATGACTAAAAGACTGACCTAAGAAACTCTTTTGTTGCTAATCATTTTTTAAAATCCAAATTTCAAAGGAAACTTGTTCTCAAAGACATAAGCATTTATTTTAAACTCAGAAAAATTCTTATGAATTTATTATTGCTTGTCCTTTTTAATTTTTTTATTGTAGACAATCCTAAGTGAATGTCTCATGGGAGAATCCATTTATGATATGTGCTTGTATTTGCGTAAACTGATCATGCAGTCAATGGTTGGAAAAGGCACTCCAATGCTAAGAAAAGCTGATATATCAATTCTTATATCTTGGTTTATGTTACCAACTGAATATGGTGTAATGCAAAACTCTTTCCAGTAAATAAACTGGTTATCTTTTGTTCATTTCATCTATGGTACCTTGTTATCAGTTTGAGCAATCTTTCTGTATGTCATTTTGACTTGTATTTATCACAAAAGAAAAAGTATATGAATTTCTATATGATTTATATATTTATGCAGAGCCCTTATTTGAGCTAAAAACTAAATGACATTTTGACATCTCTACACATTCCTAGTAAATAATGTTAATCAAATTTGCCCATTTTCTCCATTTGTCATCTCTCCCACTTGTAATCTTTTCCCACTTGTAAGGTATCCTTTTCTAAAAGGATATTTTGGCAGGAGGATACACTTAGCTGAATTAGATTAGGAATGTACCAACATGAAGAAAATTCCTGTTCTAAGGAAAAAAGAAAGAAACATTATTTTAATGAAAGAAGAATGAAGTCTGTATGCTTTATTTGGGATACAATCCTTCTTTGTTCTCTTTCATATGAAGGAACAGCAGAATCCCAAAACTTTGAGGAAGGCTAATTTACTAGCTCCTTCTTCAAATATGTGTTGGAGCAAATATGGACTTATGTGAGGTTTTGATGAGCTGAAACCTCTAATGCAATCCTCACCATAACGAAACAAATTAATGGGCACCGCAACAATTCTAGCTAAAGGTGCCTGCTTACCTGTTGTATGACTACAACACTAGAAATAATAGTGTAAACTTTCCCCAAACCTCTCCTTTTTTCTCTTCTGAAAGTCATTGCTTTTCCTGGAGGTTGGATCTATAAGTCTGTTTGATCCATGATCTTCTCTTACACAATGAAGCTGATAGTTACATTCAAAAGCTAAAAACTGGATCAGCCTCCAAGAGAACCAAGAAAGTTTCTTCTTATCCCCGCATTTTGCAGGTGATTTGGGTAGCCCTGCATCCACACTGGAGGTAAGGAAAAGTCCAGAATTGATGGGAACTTGTAGGAGGGATTTTCTTTATTTGGGGTTGTACACACATTGACTAGTACATTGTGGGAACTCAAATTTTGAACTTGAGCAATAGGTTCCTGAGAGATGGGTTCCTTGGCCCCTTGCCATCACACCTTAGTTATAACACATCTGGAACTGAGTTTATAGAACCTAGCGTTACCTGTTGTAATATCAGCAGGCACTAAATACCAACCAATTGAGGGAAATGGTCTTTAAATTAAGTGAATGGTTATTCTCTCTTGTTCAATCTAGATCTCTGTGTTTGAAGGAGTCTTCATGTGTACAATGAAATCATCTGACAGAGTTTCTTCTTAAACATTTTATGAATCAACTATCATTGAAATACTTTAAGAAAAAAGGATAATTCAGCCACAACATTAACTGTCAAGGAAGATAAACCTCACTGGAAAAAGTATTGCCAGTATCAAAAGTAAACATAATTCATAATGTAATTTAAATGTAGAAAACAATATAAAGGTATATAAATCATAACTATAGTGACATCCTGTTAAAGAGTAAAGAAAAGTTACAACTGAATTAATGCATGTATAAGTGAATGAAGAATTTCATCCAGATAAGACTCCAATAGTCTAAGCATTATGTTATTGGAAATAATATTAGCTATCAAAGACTAAACACCATTTGAAAGAAGTCACATATGTCATTTCCTTTAATCTTTGCAATAACCTTGCCAGGTGGGCATTTTTATCCTCATTTATAAAATGAGACAGTTGAGGCGTAGGGAGGCTAAATACCTTTCCAATGCACAGAGCTTGTAAATACCAGGGCTTAAATTTGAACAAATTCTATGTTTTTCAAAATACTTCTGCTGACATAGCCTGCTTTAAAACAATTATTTCTCTAGAATTCATGTTAATTTTTATTTTTTAATTATTACTTTTTAAATAATTGTTATTTTAGAATTTTATTTATATATTCGAGAGAGAAAGAGAGAGTGAGCTTAGTGGGGGGAGGGGCAGAAGCAGAGGGAGAAGCAGACTCCCTGCTGAGCAGGGAGCCCATTGCAGGGCGGGGCTCCATCCCAGGACAGTGAAGGTACCTATCCAGAACCTGGACTTCATTATTAACAGAATGGATTTTCCAGTTTCTGTGCTTGCAAGAAAAAAAAATAATGTGCTTATTATCTGGGACAAAACATTTTAATGCTATTACTTCAAAGAGTTATCAAGTTGAATCTTGCAATAATTCCATAACCCAATGCAGCCATACATTTTAACAAAATTTTTAAATTCTGACATACCTATCAAATTGTATGGAGATTATAAAAATCATTAAAGTAAATTTCATAACAGCAGTAGACATTTTAATTACTGTATATTTAAGTAAAACTAAGATCCCTACTGATAGCTTCATAACTTGACTTCCTTTGAAGTTCTGAATGATAAATGTCAGTCAAATATCACAGGAAGATTTACGTCATTTAGAAGAGCTAATAGCCCAAGATTAATAAGTGATTTATATCAACTTCTAAATAAATCAAAGAGGAAAGAAATTATTTACCTCATTGAAAGCCATTGGTACTGAAAATACCAGGGCTCATGTTTTACTAAGCTACCCTATAGGAAAGAAAGGGAGAAAATCAGAATATATATTAATTTTTTTCTTGTTTTTGGTAAAGTAACAGTGGAGACCTCTAGAAATGGTTATCTCTTTTACAGATAAAAAGAGCAAAGTGTATGGTGGAAGGGAGCCAGGGGAGCCAATTCCTCACTAGGAGGTGAATGCCTTTTTATATTGTTTTCCTATTTCAACCATGGAAATACAGTATCTATTCAAAAAAGAAAAAATAAATATGGGCTCTCAAAATTTTTACGACTAAGTCAGAAACAAAAATTAGTGGGGCACCTGGGTGGCTCAGTCGGTTAAATGTCTGCCTGCAGCTCAGGTCATGATCTCAGAGGTTCCTGAGAACCTGTTTTGAGCCAGGTTTTGCTCTAAGGGCTTAATATATCAGAAAACAAAGCAAAGAAGGTTCATGTCTTTTTGGAGTTTGTATCGGATATGTTGCATTGATGAGGGAGATACACAAAAAACAGTAAACAGAATAAAAATGTAAATATCAAAGTATGTTATATAGTGAAACTGATGGAAAAAGAAAAAAAGCGGAACCAGGAAGAGAGATTATGCTGGGTTGGGGTGGGGAGAAAGTGAAATAGATCACACTATTAAATGGGGTGGGCAGGTGGGGCCGTATTAAAAAATAAGATGGGGGCGCCTGGGTGGCTCAGTTGGTTAAGCGACTGCCTTCGGCTCAGGTCATGATCCTGGAGTCCCGGGATCGAGTCCCACATCGGGCTCCCTGCTCGGCAGGGGGTCTGCTTCCCCCTCTGCCCTCTTCCCTCTCGTGTTCTCTGTCTCTCATTCTCTCTCTCTCAAATAAATAAATAAAATCTTTAAAAATAAAAAAATAAAAAAAATAAAAAATAAGATGAAAACAAATATAATCCTGTTCACATTGTGATTGTTTCAGTTTTTAAAATTATTAAATTACATGTTATTTAGATTTTTAGATGTTATTATCCATCTAAAAATATCAACCCCAATGAACATTAAGCAATAGCATGTTCAAAAACTAGTCTTTTAAGATATTCTAATAATTTGGAGTGAGCATTACAAAATCTCATTCCATGACAATGTTGGCTTAAAATCGCAATATTTATTTTACAAATAGGTCTCATGCCTTTTTGAAGCTTTGGGACATGCCCATTTATCCTTCTCCAATAAAAATTTGAATCAGATAATTTTATTCAACAGACTTATTGGTAACTGTCAATTCTAATGAACTTGTAATTGACCCTATAAATAATCCTTAAGATAACTCATGTTTTTCAACATATAGCTGGAGACTAAACTGTTCTTTCTTCTAGTTGTTAATTCCAACTCTCTCTTTGAATGACCCTTTCACCCAAATTTTCTATAAAAATAAGGGCATCTTTTAAAAATACATTGGCAACCCCCCAGTACATTTGCAGCACCCCCAAATACATTTGCACAAACTTTCTTCCTAATACAAAGGTAAGAAAAGAAAGATTGTCATGGGGTGCCTGGCTGACTCTGTTGGTGGAGCATGAAACTCTTAATCCCAGGGTTGTGGGTTCCAGCCCCATGCTGGGGGTAGAGATTATTTAGAAATAAAATCTTTAAAAGAAAAAAGATATTGTCACACTGCTAAACTTCACATTAGCTTGCTGCTGAGAATTACCATTTTTCTTATATTTGTGTAGATTCAGACTTCAAACCTGACTATTTCGTTAGAATTAGCAGAAAGTAATATATATTTTGAAGTCAGCCTTCTCTTTATTCTCATAAATAGTTGCCCTAATTCTGGTTTACTTTATTAGAAAATAAAGTCCATGTTACTAAATATACTTATGTAATATGGAAAGTCTCTTCAAATTACAAACCTAGGTAAGTATGCCTACTTAATAAATAACAAAGATGAAAATAAAATCTAACTGATGAAAACATTACCTATTAAAAGTCTATCTCCTGTGAAGAGTTCTTTAATGTCACTACTTTCCAGCAGATGCAAAAACAAAGCTGACTTGAATTCAAGTAAAATTATGATAATGTGGTTTTATTTTATTTTTTTTAAGATTTTATTTATTTATTTGACAGAGAGAGAGACAGCGAGAGAGGGAACACAAGCAGGCCTCCCTCCGTGCAGGGAGCCCGATGCGGGGCTCGATCCCAGGACCCTGGGACCATGACCCGAGCCGAAGGCAGACGCCCAATGACTGAGCCACACCAGCACCCCGATAATGCGGTTTTAATTATGCACACCAAACCAAAGGCTGTTCTTCAAGAGTGCATTTTATTGGTAAATGGCTGTCTTTGGACTGGATGGTGACAGCCTACTGTTATCGGTAGTGTCATTTAATTTCCACATCTAGTGGTTGATAGGAAAAACAAGATTTTTCAGAAGTACTCTTTAGAAACACATTCTTATTGGATGTTGAATATTCCAAAGTCCACATTGGAATATGTTGTGCACAGTACTCTACAGTTTCTATATATTTTTAAAGATACTTACCTTATATTTAAAGGATATTTTCTTGCTCAATATACT